TACATCGGGAAGGCAGTTCTGAAGAACAACGTCTTCGTCCTTGATTTCGTCCCGGACCTGGGCACCGCAGACAGCGACGCTATTGTTAACTTCACGGACTGGACGCACCCTCCAGACCTTGATCCAGACTTCAGCTCGGAAGGCTTTTGGTACTCCCATACTATCCCTGAAGCAGAACGAACACACGCATTAGCAACAATACAACACTCGACAGCAGCAGACACAACATCGACAGCAGCAGAGACAACATCGACAGCAGCAGAAACAACAACGACAGCAGCAGAGACATCATCGGCAGCAGCAGAGACAACATCGGCAGCAGCAGCAGCAGGAACAACGACACCAGTCCTCGTCGACGAAGAACCACCAACACCCGCACAGCAGTTGAAACCAACTCCACAAGAAGTCCACAGAAGCGCACACTTCGTCGCCAGCTTCTACTCCAACTCCGACGCGTATTAACGCTCACCCGGACACCGCGCTCTTGAAGACATCTGGCACGCACGCACAGGACATCCAAGCAACACAGTGTTAAATAACACAATTCGAGCAGGAGTTTTAGACAAGGACTCGCTACTACTACCCGACGGCACAGAACTTCAACGTGCACGAGGAACTTGCCTTATCTGCCCCGAAGCCGACTTACCCCATCGACCGTTTTCTTCTCACCACAACCCAAGCGCACCTACATACGCACCACTCGAGAAAGTATACAGCGACATCCTCTTCAATCGAGAACCAGGACAAGTCACCTACAATTACACGATAACCTTCATCGACGCCGCCACTCGATACGTATGGCATCGAAACCTACCCAGCCGCGACATGGCTCTCGCAGCGTTCGCCGCTTGGCTACCGGTAGCAGAGAGGGAATCAGGAACACAATTGAAAAGCTTTCAGTCAGACGGAGGAGGAGAGTACACCTCTCAGCGCTTCAAGCAGTACCTGGCGGAAAGGGGAATCAAGCAACTCCTCTCCCTTCCCTACGCACATCAGAAGCAAGGTGTCGCAGAAAGAATGAACAGGACTCTGCAGAACAGCATGCGCAGACTGCTACGTGGCATGCGGCTACCCAACCACCAGTGGCCTGCAGCAATGGACCATGCTGTCATGCTGCACAACTTGCTGTCGTCGTCGTCACTCCCGAACAACGCATCACCGCACCTGCTGTGGACATGGAAGCAGGGCAGCACAAAAATGTTACGAGTTTTCGGGTGCATGGTACAGTACCGACCCCCAGAAGCACGAGCGGGAAGATTTTCACAACGCGCACAGTGGGGACTACACCTCGGCATCGAGAAAAATTACAACGCGTGGAAAATCTTCGACGTCCACTCAAAGGAAACAGTAGCAGCACGTGATGTGATCTTCTACGAGCGACTCACCCTTCAAACGTACCTCGCCAACTTGCACGAGAATCAAAACCCCACAGGTGGCTTTCGTGGTGACCGAGCCTTCGCCTCATCAGCGGATGAAGCAAACTGGGATGAACAGAACGTCGACAACGCATCGGACGAATCCGGGCCTCTCCCGTTCTGCTCCGTCCACGTGCCCATGGACGAAGAAAATCCTCGCGACAGTGCCAACGCCGAAGTCTTCTATCACTTCGCCGACAACGGTTACGTAACACCTGCGACAGTCAACACAAATGAAGCAGAACGGATAGGGCCAAATTTCATACCCGATCCAGAAGCGGGAGACGAAGCAGCTTATCCCGAGGATCCAACACTCCCCCGATACTCACAGACTAGGCTGCAAATCCTCGGCCTCGTCACCGCAGTGCTCGGCAACGCGCTTCCTAAGGAGCCTGCGACGGCTCAGCAGGCTCTGGGGGGGGAACACAGGGAGGAATGGCGTGAAGCCATGGACAGAGAACTAAAGGCATTGGAGGAACGCAACACCTGGAAGGTCGTTCCCGCAAGCGTGGCAAGGAACAAGACTATTCTCACCGGGAAATGGGTCTTCCGCATCAAAACGAAAGCAGACGGCACGATCGAGAAATTCAAAGCACGCTGGGTCGTGCGTGGATTCGATCAGGAGCAAGGACGAGACTTCACCGAGACATTCGCCCCAGTCAGTCGACATACCTCTCTCCGAATCCTTCTCGCCGTCGTCGCCATGAAGAAGAAGAAGCTGCGACAAATTGATGTCGCCAATGCATTCCTCTACGCACCCGTCGACGCCGAAATCTTCGTCGAACTCCCACATGGTACCCACGGAAACCCCAATCAGGTCTGTCAGCTACTGAAATCTCTCTACATAATCAAACAAGCACCGCGGCTGTGGCAACAGTACCTACACACCCGCCTTACTCGCATCGGATTTCGTCAACTACCTCACGACCAAGGGATGTACCGACTCACCAAAGACGCAGACTACATCCTGGTGATAGTCTATGTCGACGACTTGCTCTACATCGGCTCCACCGACGACGTCACCACCTGGTTCGAAGGGGAGCTGCAGAAGGACCTCACGCTCACGGTCTCTTCTACCGTCACGCAGTACCTCGGGCTCAACATCCGCGAAGAAGAAAATGCGATCTATCTAAGCGCCGAGAAATACGCCGACACAATCGCCAAGCGTTTTTCGCTCACACCTACCGCTATCGCCACGTTATACCGCTACACGGCAAGAGATGACAAAGGAAATTCCGCTCCACTCAAAGCTGCCGGAATACGAGACTACCAGAGGAAACTGGGTTGCCTCCTTTTCTCAGCCGTCACCTGTCGCCCGGATCTATCCTACTCCGCAAGCCAACTCGCTACCTACCTCAAGAAACCCGAAGCAGAGCACCTGGCGGAGCTCGATCGCGCACTGCACTATTTCGTGAGCACGCCGACGATCGGCCTGACTGACTACAAGAGCGAAGCTACGTCAACGAAACTAATCGGCTACGTCGATGCCGACCATGCGGGCGATTCAGATAACAGGCGCTCTCGCACTGGCTACGTCTATCGTCTAGAGCCTATCGGACCTATCTCCTGGCAGTCGAGTAAGCAGGAACTAATCGCTCTCTCCTCAGCTGAAGCAGAATATATCGCCCTTTGCTCAGCCACCAAGGAAGGACTCTACCTTAGCGAGCTGCTGGAAGAAGCAAAGTTAGCCGAGTTACCCAACTTCACCTTGTTCTGCGACAACCAATCCGCAATTCGCATCGCCAACAAGAGCGGATTCGCGAACCGAACGAAGCATATCGCCCTGCGATACTTCTTCGTGAAAGACGAAATCGAGAAAGGAAAACTCGAACTATCCTACTGTCCCACGTCCGAGATGGCAGCCGACTACTTGACCAAAAGGCTCGGAAAACAGAATTTCGAGTACTGCATGCTGCTGACTGGACAAGGCCACGTCACCATCAGAGACACTCCAGAAGCGAAGGGGAGTGTTGGGAACAATAAGTCTTAAGCGCCTCTGTCGTGTCGAAACTCAGGACACAAAGCGAAGAAGTCCAAATCGAAGCATCGCGAGTCAACCCTCGGAGGTTAGGGTAACCGCCTGAAGGTTACGGGAAGGTCAAAGGTCAGCGACCTTTGACTTGACCAATACAGCGCAACAACAAGGACACACAACTGACTCGACATTGAGCAGTTGCCCGAGTCGCACTCTATCGAATCGCAACAGCAAGGTAGTTTAATTACATCTATTCGTATTCCTTGTACTCTTATATAAAGCTTTGTATTTGCCTATTTTAATCAACTTACTTTGCCCTCACATACCAGCGCAAGGTGGTTCAAGGCTTTCTTATTCAACGCTTCCGCTATTACATCATCCTACTCAAACTTAAACTCTACAAAGATCCTAGGGCGTTTCAGCCCAACATAGTGGATCCACTTGAAATCTCTAACTAACTTTTTAATGCTTTTGACGGTTGAAGCGTTGTTCTGTTTTGTTTTTCAGGCGCTTTCAAGTCTTCACATTGATTTTCACAAAAAATGTCGCAAGCATGTGCAAATGAGACGTGCGATTCCCGATTACACGAGGGGGCCAATTTCAACAGGTTTTGCATGTGCAATTCACGCACAACAAACGCCTCACACATGGACCTGCTGGAGCGGCACAAACAGCGTAGGAAAAGCGGAAATTCATAAAAAACAGAGAAGTTTTATGTTAGGAATAAAAAAACGAAGAACGAGAAGGAAACGACAACGCACGTAGAGAGCTGATTGAGCGAAAATTGTGGAATGGTAGGGTGTGGGGAGATGGGGGGGGAGAAAGGAAGGGTGACTTGCAGGCATTTCGGGGCGAGCGCGAAGGTGCCAAGATGGGTGATGGGAGGGGAGAAACGAAGGGCGACGGGCAGGCATTTCGAGGCGAGCGCCAGGGCGCCGAGGTGGGTGACGGGAGGGGAGAGAGGAAGGGCGACGACTTTTTCGAGGGAGAGAGGATAGGCGACGGGAGAGATAAAGGGCGACGGGAGAGAGGATAGGCGACGGGAGAAAGGAAGGGCGACGGGAGAGAGGATCGGCGACGGGAGAGATAAAGGGCGACGGGAGGGAGGGCAATGAGAAATTTAGAACGAGAATGAAATGACTATGAATGAAGTGAGTACAAATAGGAAACTCTAGTTGGGTTGTACCCCCTATGAGATACCCCACTATAGCCTACACAAAAAAGTAAGCTATAATATTTTGACACACCCCCATAGGCAAAGTGGGGGAGAACAAGGGGTCACAAGACCAGTCAAGCAAAACAAAGCAAAGCTCAGCGTGGATCACAAAGTCACCACACATTCCGAGCACAAGTTCAAGGGCCACAAGGCCAGTTCACATGCAAGACCATATATAGAGATATACAAGAGTCAAGCAAGCAAGAGCAAGAGTATATATAGGTCGAGGTACAAGCAAGGTCAAGAAGTGAGCAAGTGAGGCAAGACAGGCACAAGACCCAACTGCGTGCAGCAACGCTGATGATCACAAGGCGCAAGTGCCTTGGTGAAGACATCAGCAGTGTTGGCCTCAGAGGCCACGTACGCAAGTCGCAACTGTCCACGCTGCTGTAGCTCACGAGCAAGGAAAGTAGCGGAGAGCAATGTGCTTTGTCCTGTGCTCCAGTCGCTGCTCTCGACACAAGGCCAGCATGGCCTTGTTGTCTACGTACAGGACTGGAGGAGAACGAGGCGGCTCTCCAAGGTCGGTCAACAGGTAGGTGAGCCAGTGTAACTCCTGTGCAGCCATAGCCCCGGCGTAGATCTCAGCCTCACAACTGGAGCCGAGAACAGAAGACGAGCGGGTAGCCCGCCACGAAACAGAGCCGGAACCAAGGCTGAAGGTGTAACCCTGTGACGACCGCTGCGTAGCCTGGTCGTCAGCCCAAGAAGCGTCCGCGTGCCCAGTAAGGACCACTGGACTGCGCCCTCCAAGCACTAGCCCCATGCCCGACGTACTGCACAAGTAGCGCAACACCCTCTTCGCTGCAGCCATGTGCTCTGGTCGGTGTCTCCCAGGAGCAACATAGCGTGCAAGAATGCTAAGAGGGTATGCAAGGTCAGGTCGTGTGCAGGTCATCAGGTACATGAGGCAGCCAAAAAGCTTCGCATACGGGCCACTCGACTCTACGGACTCATCCGAAGGCAGAGCTGAGAGCGAGTGTCGAGTAGGCAGATGAGTGGCCTAAGGCGAGGAGTACGTGAAGCCGAAGCGCTGAAGGACCTGCTGCACCATGTGTGACTGAGTCAGGGTAATGGTGCGGCGTGCTCTGTCCCGGGTGATCTGCAAGCCAAGGTAGCTACGCAGTTCACCCAGGTCAGTGCATGTGTGTCTCTTCTGCAACTCGGACTTCACGTAGGCGAGTCAAGCAGTGTCAGCTGTGGCAAAGACCAAGTCGTCGACGTACACGAGGATGTAGAACGGCGGCAGAGAGGTGTCGGTGCGCAGAAACAGCGACGGGTCGGCAGTAGAAGGAGCAAACCCAAGTGTCGCCAGCGTAGTCCTCAGTGTGTCGTGCCACTCACGTGGCGATTGGCGGAGACCGTAGACTGGACGCCGGAGACTCCACTGGGTACCAGGAGGGAAAGACCCAGTGAAGCCAGGTGGGCGACGCAGCCAGATCTCCTCGTGCAGGCTGCCCTGCAAGAAAGCTGTGCTGAAGTCGAGAGAGTGCAGCTCGTAGTCACGGTGAGCAGCAACGTGCAGCAGTACCCGAAGAGTGGTCATCTTCGAAGTGGGGGAGAAGGTCTGAAAGTAGTCAACCCCCTGCCGCTGACTGAAGCCACGAGCCACGTAACGCGCCTTGAAGACAGGCGGAGAACATGGCGGCCGCTTCACCCTGAAAATCCACATGCCACTGACGATGTTCGCCCCAGGAGGGGGAACAGCGTCGACGTAGGTGCTTGTGGACTTCCAGGAAGCCATCTCAGCATCCATAGCTGCCTGCCACTGAGAGGAGTAGGGACCCTCTATCGCCTCCGCGTAAGAGCGCGGAGTCGGGATGTCTAGTGCATCCGGGTCTCCCTCAGGGTCTAGCAGTACAGACGCGAGATGAGGTGAAGCGGCGGCCAGACACTGGAACTCCTCCTGCCTGTCCTCAAGGACGTCTGTGCCAAGGGCACACTCACCCCCGACGGACGGAGGACACGCAGACTCAGACTCAGCGACAAGACTAGCAGCGTAGTCTAGACGACAGCGCGCAACAAAGTCGACGAGCTTAGTGACAAGGGCAGACGCAACAGAAGACTCGAAAGAAGGGTCAGTGACAGCAGTAGCAAGGAGACGCGTGACAGTAGGACTGGCAGCACGAAGAGAGTCCGACTCCGGGTCGGTAAGAGCAAGAAGAGAGGAAGCAGGAGGAGAAGGCAAAGGGGCACGCAGAGGAGCAGTAGACGGATGCAGAGACATCCGGTGCGTGCCAGGGACAGGAGGAGGACGCTGACGCGAACCGCGACCACTAGCGCGCGCAGTACGAACAGGCGACGCAGGACGAGACGCAGGCTCACGACGCTCAGTAAGACCTCCAGTCGGACCAGCGTAGGGAGAAGGAGCAGGCAAAGGTGAGGCAGGCTGTAGCTGTGACTGTGACGAGACAGGCTGTGGACCCTCTAAGGGAAGAGGAGGAGGACCAGGAGAAGGTGTAAGACCAAGAACCTGCTGCAGGAGTGGAACGAAGTACGGCCGGGGCCGCGCGGCGTTGCCAGAAACAGCAGGGACAGCACCAGTACCCCCAGCAGGAGTACCCGCTCCAGCAGCACCTCCAGTAGGACCTCCAGTAGCTCCAGAACCTCCAGCAGCATCACCACGAGCACCGCCAGGCGGACCTCCAGCGGCAGTCTCAGCGTCAGCACCCTCAGCAGCACCAGCTCCAGGAGAACCCTCAGACCCAGCAGCTCCTGCACCCACAGTACGAGCACCGCCGGGACGCTCGGCAGCAGTACCCTCTGCAGCCGAAGAACCTCTAGCACCAGCAGCACGCCTCCAGCGCCTGGCAAACCACTCACGTAGCTCCTGAGGGGAGAGTGGCTCTCGGCGAGACGAAGCACCTCCAGGCGGAGCACCCCCAGTCTCAGCACCCCTAGGCTCAGCACCCCCAGGCTCAGCACCCCCAGGCTCAGCACCCCCAGGCTCAGCACCCCCAGGCTCAGCACCCCCAGGCACAGCACCCCCAGGCTCAGCACCTCCAGACTCCGCACCCCCAGGCTCAGCACCCTCAGGTGTAGCACCTCCAGTCTCAGCACCCCCAGGCTCAGCTCCCGCAGCAGCACCAGAGTCACTAGTGACCTCGACAGGCTCGACCGCGTCTACCTTGGACACACCTGAAGGGGCAGGACCCTGAGGGGGGAGGGGGTCTACCGGGGGGGGACCTGGTACCAAGAAGAGCGGGGGCGGGGGGAGGGACGGAGTGCGGTAGGGGAAGAGGCGGTAGTAGGGTACCGACTCGTCGAACGTGACGTCCTGGGAGGACAGAACACGTCGAGAGGTGGGGTGGTAGAACTGCCACCCAGGGACGTCAGGGGGGAACCCCAGGAAGACGCAGGGAGCAGCGCGAGGGGACAGCTTGTCCGCAGACAAGTCGCGGACAAACGCCCGAGATCCCCAGACACGGAACGCCGACGCATCGCCAACCTTCCCCGTCCACAGCAGCGCTGGGGAGGTCTCCGGCCTAGAGACCCTGGGGTGGAGGTTGATCTGATGCGCTGCGTACCTGACCGCAAACGGCCACAGAAAATGGGGGGCAGCCGCATGCATCATGGACGTACGAGCGACGTCCATGACCATGCCAATGCGGCGCTCTGCAATCCCATTTTGCTGCGGGGAGTCCGGAAGCGTGAAGGTCTGGCGGATGCCTCGCGCACGACAATAGGCACGCAGAAGGCCAGAGGAGAACTCTCCGCCTCTGTCCGAGTGCAGACGCAACACAGGAAAGTCCGAGCCAAAGCTCTGCCTGAGCTGGAGACGAGCTGCGCGGATCCAGTCGATCAGCACCTCAGTGACATCACCCTTGCTGCGCAAGGGGAAGACTGTGGTGTAACGCGAGTAGTCGTCAACCACCAGCAGGAAGTAGCGCTCGTGACCGAGTCCATGGACGCGGGCACGGCCCCACACATCCATGTGAAGCGTCTGCAACGGAGCCTCTGTCGGAGGAAACTGGGAGGAGTGAGGGGCAGCACGCTGGCGCCCCTCGACACAGGGGACACAGGCAGGGCCAGGGCCCTGAGGAAGGGGAGTTAGAGACCGGGGGAGACCAGACACAAGAAGACGGGAGGCCATGCCTCTAAGCCGAAGCAGAGAGGGGTGGCCAAGGCGGTGGTGCCAGAGGAGGGTCTCGTGAGACAGAGGGCGATACGAATAGGGGGCAGACTCAGGACCTGACCTGGACGCTGCAGCAAACACCTGACCAGACGAAGGGACTCTACCAGACTCAGCACCTGGAGGAGAAGCAGTGGTCAGTGTGTACAGGCTCGACCCTGGCTGACGTGTAAACGTAGCCAGGTGACGACCCGTGCTAGCCTCCGTGCAGTGCGTCACTCGCTGACTAGCAGGGGTGAACTGGTGGACTCCCGCATCCTGTAGGTCAGCACCACTCACCAAGTTCGTAGAGAACGAGGGGAGGTAGAGACCAGACAGGGTGCCAGAGGGAGCCGCCGGACACGCGAGGACTGTGGAGAAGCGAGACAGGACAGGACCCCCAGAGGGGTCAGCCAGGGAAACCGCAACCGGCCGACTAAGCGGCGTAAGTGTGGTGCGGTCCCGAAAGAAAGAGCGAGACGCTCCAAAGTCAAGAGTGAAGGTGTTGGAGGCCGAAGCCGACGCAGTACCTGAGAGCGCAGACGCACTAGTACCTGAGAGAGCAGTCTCACGAGTACCTGAGAGCACAGACGCACTGGCACCTAGAGCAGAAGCCTCACCGGCACCTGGAGCAGCAGTACCAATGCCCGGGTCGGGCGGGAAACACCGGTTACAGTCACCCTCCTCACTAATGGTCACAGCATACATGGCAGCAAGGATAGCATCAAAATCAAGATCAAAGATAGCGACATCTGCCCTAGACAGCTCTCCCCAGCGGGGGATCTCCGCGGCCTCCGGGAACTGCTGACGCCAAGCGTCCGTCAGGCGGCCAAAGCAGCGCAGGGCGGAGTGGGCACCCCCACACTGCTCTCCTGTGCGGTCGCCAGTGCGGAGAACGTAGGTGCAGGGACCAAAACCCCCACCGGGCTGACGCTGCGTGTACCACTCACGGAGCTGCTGAGGGGTGGGGACGTCGCGAGAACGCTGCTGCTGCTGCTGCTGGCGCTGACCGCCACCAGTGCCGCTCCGCTGTGAAGCTCCACTCCGACCACCTCCACCTCCGCCACCCCCGCCTCCGCCTCCATCGCCCCCGCCTTCACCTCCACCGCCGCCACCTCCGCCACCTCTGCTACCACCACCACCGCCGCCGCCACTCCCTCCTCCACTGCTGCCACTAGCACCCCCACCCCCGCTACCACCTCCACCGCCACCCCCACTCCCTCCGCCGCCTCCACCTCCACCGCCACCGCCCCCACTGGCCCCACCCGCTCCCTTGCCCCCCTTGCCCTTGCTAGAGCGGCGTCTCCCGCTAGGGGCAGACGCCGCACCGACCGACTCAAGACCAACGAGGTCGGCCGCAGCGGCAGAGGCGACAGAGGGCAGGAGAGGGGAAGGAGAACACCCCTCAAAGATGGAGGCGCGGGGGTCACCTCTAGAGGCTCCTACAGCGACTATGCTCTTCTCTGCTGCAAGGAGGGCCTTCTCTAGGTTGTCGACTGTGAGGGTGGTGGGACAGACTGCGAGGAAGTGGTCCCGGACTACACGAAGGGAGTCAGGGAGGCGAGTGACTAAGAAGTAGAGAGTGATGTACATGGGGGGGGGGTTCTTGGCGCAGAAGTCAGCAGGAAGCGCAGCGCGGTAGCGAGTGTCATTAGTGCGGAGGTGCGTGATGAGATCAGCGACAGTGGGAAAGGCGGCAAGGTCAGGGGAGAGGAAGGGGAGCATGAGGCGGCTCAGTGCAGCAGTGGCAGGGGAGGAGTAGCGCGCAACTACAGCGTCGTACAAGGTCTGGGCACTCTTGTACTGGCTAAAGTGCGCGCGCTCAGCAGTAGGCAAGTGGCGACGCACAGCAAGACGTGCAGCAGCATCGCGCGTGGCCCACTGTGAGCGAACAGTGGCGTCAGCATCAGCAGCAGGGGAAGGGACGGCGCCAGAGGTGAGGTCAAAGAGAGACAGACCGTCTGCCCTATCGCACTGTAAAAACAGCTGCAGGTGGTCGAGCCAGACCTCAAAGTCTATGGCTCGACCCTCAGCGTCAAAAGCGAGGACACTAGGGGTAGCCATGACGACGAGAGTGAAGCAGTGCAAGCAGTAGGGGAAGGGCACGCAGTGAGAGCGGTACAGTGCTCACCGGGCAGGGCAGGTCGGGCGGCTCGGTAGAAAGGCGGCTCGGCTACTCAGCGACTCGGCTCCCGGGCGGCTCGGCTCCCGGGCGGCTCGGCGGTAGGGCGGCTCGGGCGGGGCGGCTCGGCTGCCGGGCGGCTCGGGTGCAGGGCGGCTCGGCTGCTGCAGGTGGGCGGCTCAGCTGCTGCAGTTGGGCGGCTCGGCTGCTGCAGTCGGGCGGCGCGAGAGTAAGGGGCGGCGGGGCCGTGAGTGCTGGGGCGGCGGGGCCGCGAGACCAGGGGCGGCGGGGCCGCGTAGTAGGGGCGGCGGGGCCGGGAGCGCTTGGGGCGGCGGGGCCGCGAGATCAGGGGCGGCGGGGCCGTGAGCGCTGGGGCGGCGGGGCCGCGAGATCAGGGACGGCGGGGCCGTGAGATCAGGGGCGGCGGGGCCGGGAGCGCTGGGGCGGCGGGGCCGCGTATCAGGGGCGGCGGGGCCGGGAGCGCTGGGGCGGCGGGGCCGCGTATCAGGGGCGGCGGGGCCGGGAGCGCCGGGGCGACGGGGCCGCGTATCAGGGGTAGCGGGGCCGGAAGCGCTGGGGCGGCGGGGCCGCGAGATCAGGGGCGGCGGGGCCGTGAGCGCTGAGGCGGCGGGGCCGTGAGATCAGGGACGGCGGGGCCGCGAGCGCTTGGGCGGCGGGGCCGCGAGATCAGGGGCGGCGAGGGCCGCGCTTTCAGGGTCAGCGGGGCCGCTAGATCAGGGGCGACGGGGCCGCGAGATCAGGGGCGGCGGAGCCGCGTGAGGAAGGGCGGCGAGAGCCGCGAGAGCAGGGCGGCGAGGCCGCTAAGGCGGCGCGAGGGCGGGCAGCGGGGCGCGGGCGCTAAGGCGGCGCTCGGGCTGCTAGGGCGGGCGGCTCGCTAAGGCGGCGCTCGGACCGTTAGGGCAGATCGAAAAAAAAAAGTAAGAGCAAGGGCCCGGAGCGCGCTCCGGGCAGGAAAAAAAAAAGGTTCGATGTGGTGGGCCCTAAGCACAGTTCCCACGGGGGAACCTGCTCGATACCATGAGAAATTTAGAACGAGAATGAAATGACTATGAATGAAGTGAGTACAAATAGGAAACTCTAGTTGGGTTGTACCCCCTATGAAATACCCCACTATAGCCTACACAAATAAGTAAGCTATAATATTCTGACAGGCAACGGGAAAGAGAAAGGGCGACGTGACAGAGAAAGGGCGACAAGAGAGAGCAAGGGCGACGGGAGAGAGAAAGGGCGACGTGACAGAGAAAGGGCGACGGGAGAGAGAAAGGGCGACGGGAGATAGAAAGGGCGACGGGGGAGAGAAAGGGCGACGGGGGAGAGGATAGGCGAGGGGAGATAGGAAGGGCGGAGGGAGGGGCGACAGGATGGGCGACGGGAAGGGCGACGGGATCGACGATGGGATGGGCGACGGGATGGGCGACGAGATGGGCGATGGTATGGGCGACGGGATGGACAATGGGATGGGCGATGAGAAGGCAGCGGGACGAGCCACGGAAGGGCGGCGACAGTCGCGTGGGTAAGGGAGGCGAGAGGAGATCGCGTGGGCGACGGGACGGAAAAACGCGGGCGCAAAGGGACAGACTGAAAAGCTTACACTCATAGCTTTCGGATGCAACACGACGGACATTCTGATTAATACATGTGTAGATAACGAGGGCCTAAGTTGAGACATAGCCTACGCCTAGCCTAGCTACTTACGGCAAAACTTCCGACGCAAAATTGGTAGTAGTTCACCCCATCCCAACTTGAAACATCAGTTGGGCCCAAATCGATTGGACAGACTGAAACGATCGCCTGTGCAATTGTCGTGCGGGCTTAGCAATGAGAAGTACGACGTCACACATCAGGAAAATGTCTCAATTTTGGCGGGAACCAACCAAAGGTGTTCGATTTGCACGTCCGCAGCGTTTGAAACGGTACAAACTTCTCAGTCCGTCTAAACTTTGTTTCGCCCGGCAAACTCGTCCCTGCGCCCTTTCAAGTTGGGTTTGGGTTCACTATTTTGCATCTCCGTTTCAAGTCTCTTCTAGTTTCTTTCATGTTGGCATGAATAATAATTAAAAGTTGGTTACTATTTTGCCAACCTGGACCAGCGGCTATTCCGTGTTTTGTGTTGTCAAATGTTCTGGGCACTGTGACCAATACTTGGCGTCTCATGTTTCCCATGCCAAAACATGACTGGTAAATGATTGTTTGGGAGAGATGAGCCATCTCACAATTGTGTACATAAATTCAATGATGTATTGTGGCCCCTTTACAGTCACAGCTCGTTTGGGGATGTTCGAACATTTACACCCTGTTTCGCGCTAGCAGAGCATCTGGTTGCAGAACATGCGCTGGTTGTAGAACGTCACCACGTTTGAAATGGTCTTATCACCGACGGTACAAGCACATTCACAAGAAAGCGGTTAGCTAGGATGCTGCATGGTAAAGAACATTAACCAAGCGTTTCAAAGCGGTTGAAAAGGGTATACAGCGATAAAGAAAAATTTTGCCCCCAGTACCACTCCGTCAGCTGGTGCGGCTTTGCCCGCAGGTTTCAGCCATACGGTTTATGGCACCTGACCGCACTATAGCAGCGAATCGCGAAAGGTGAGAGGGTCGAGAAACAGGGTGTATACGGTACAGCAAAAGGCAAGGCCAACTGTACCCCAGATTCCGCGTCAAATTCCAACGGCCGTCAACTCACATCCAGATTGGTCAAACCTCCACGTTCTCCTCGAATGTGCAGCCTAGGTGTACGGATCAATACACAGCACAGCACTGTACCTCTCGTTTTTTCGGCCACCTTGAGATCTGCAGTTTCATAGCCTGCCCAGACCATTCTATTTCTGTATTACAGCGGTCAACTGTAGTGTACGATGTTTTGTTCTTCTCGAAGGGTAGACAGGGTAATTACCATATGCCACATCCCGGACGGAACCCCCAAATCGCGACGCGCCTATCAATGGCACTGTACACGACCCCCGTCTTGGATGGTGGGCTTCTGCACACCGACTTGTTGACCAATCTCCATCCAACACATGACAAACAAAAACAAGGGAACGAAAGTGATGTGGCCGGGTGGGCGCAAGGGAGTCACAAACACGCACTGTAAACATGTTCCATCTCATCTTTTCGCAAACCAAAATACAGTACAGATTGAGGACAAAAAGGGAGAAGACCATTCAGGGGCCGAACAGTGGCAGAGGGGTGATCGACCAGGGGCCAAGAGGCCCGATATTACCAAACCGCTTCGCATAGAGGATTTAACAAAGAGTCTTCATTTATTTCACGTAATTATGTTACTAGTGGCATGTACCGGCTCGCATTTTCGCTCGCGTGTCGTTTAGCGAGCCGACTCTACCGGGAACTCTAGGGCAGAAAAAAACTAAAACTCATTGGGAACCTGGATGCAATTTCGGGATGGATAAACCCTTAAAAATGAAACTTCCTGGTATTTAGGGTTGATCCCTCCCGAGTCACATCCGTTTCCGAATGGGTAATATATATATAATATTTTTTAATGTGGTTTCCGATTGGGCAGGTGGTATGCATCACCCAGAATATTTTATGTTGTTACGTAATCACGATTTGACACGCCGAATTCAATTCCAGAAGAAGGCGACGCGCGCGCTGTAGTAGGTGGCGGTCAAAACCCTCAATAGATAATAAGAACTCAATTTAGATTTCTTTTAGCAGTTATCTTTTACTTATGGTTCGGCTTGTTTGCCGAGTCGTTTGGTCAGCTCCAGGTTGAAATCCTACGGTCGAGATTTTCCGGCCCTACTTCGATCACCCTTCTGGCACTGTTCGGCCTCAATATGATCTTCTCCCGGAAAAACACGACGAGTGAGAGAATGTCACTATTGTTTTTGTACGTGTACTGTAGTCCTCTCTTGTTCCCTCCCTCTCGAAAGAGGGCAGGCCACTACACCCCCGAAACGGAGATGGAATCGTGCGGAACAGAACGACAGTCGGAACTTGGAAGCATTGGATTTTGGCAGTTCAAGTTTGGCGTTTCCGAGAGGGACGATGTACAGTTGTGAGGTGGGATGGGGTGGTCCTCCCAGTGTGAACGATCCACGTCCTTGGGACAGCGTTACAAGAAAGAAGTTTTTGAATTTCGGCGCCTGACTCTATTCGATCAGTCATCAATATATAGACCGCTCTAGGACGAAAGAAAACTCAGTGAGCCGAGGCTCAGTCTCTGTACAGTATTATACATTCACGCTCCTAGAATTTCCTTTGCCACAAACAACCAGCCGAAACCAATTCAGGCAGCAATCAGGAACTGACCCAGGTGATGCCAAGCCATTCTTCTTGTTGATCCATGATCCAAGGTGTACGACTGCACTTGGTTTGGGAC